ACACACACACACACACACACACACACACACACACACACACACACACATACACACACACACCCCACTACATATTAAAACAATTTTTAAAAGAAGGTATCTAGCAAAGCTTTCAGAGGATCCTGGGACTTATATCCCTTCCTGTGGTATTGGAGAGCAGGGTGGGGGAGGCTGAGATTAGTACGAGACCCACATGGAAAACTTAAAAGGGAAAAAGATAACCAGCAGGAGAGCTTTCAAAACAGATTTAAATTTTCTCCACTTAGGAAGAACCAATTCCAAAATAAATTCTGGATGTTGACAGGCAGAAGTGTGAAACTAGATCCCTTTCTGTCACCAGATACATAGAGTCACAACAGAGTTTTAAGAGTTAAATTAGAAGAGTTATGTGGAAGACCCGAAACTACGAAGTACTAGAGAAAACACTGGAAACACTTCCAGATACAGGAACAGGCAGACTTATAAGAACCCACAAGCAGAGATTAAAAAAAAAAAAGCAAAAGTAAACAAATAGTATTATGTTAAATTAAGAGTCTTCTTCACAATGAAGGAAATCTTTAGCTGAAGAGACACTGCAGTATGGAAGGAAAACAACTGCAAATGATTCATTTGGTCACTACCCTTAATATATAAGAAAATCAAATCACTCAACAGCAAAACCAACAAACCCAAATTCCTATTTTATTTTTTAATTTAATTTTTTTGAAAATGGGTTTCTCTGTAGCTTTGGGGCCTGTCCTGAAACTAGCTCTTTTAGACCAGGTTGGTCTTGAACTCACAGATATCTGCCTGCCTTTGCCTCCCAAATGCTGGAATTAAAATGTGAGCCACCACTGCCCAGCTCCAAATTCTTATTTTAAAATGAGCAAATGGAGGCTGGAGAGATGGTTCAGCCATTAAAGGATAGGCTTACAACCAAAAATAAAATGAGCAAATTGGGGTTGGAGAAATGACTCATACTGTTCTTCCAGAGGACCCAACCTAGTAAAGCAGAACCTTTTATAGAAGGTTTTTTTTTTCTTGCTTCATTTATTTACTTATTTATTTTATTGTTTTTGTTGTCTCAAGATAAATTTTCTCTGTGTATCCCTGGCTGTCCTGGAACTACCTCTGTAGCCCAGAAATCAGAATATCTGTCTGCCTCTGCCTCCCGGGTGCTGGGATTAAAGGCATGCGCCACCACACTCAGGGTTTCGTTTCTTTGTCTCCCATACATGGTAATACATAATTTTATTGGTTACTGAGATTCTGAAAATGACTTATTTTGAGGAAGAAAGGGTTACTAGGAGTGTAGCAAGGACACATAAGCATTTTGGCAGTAATTATGGTGTGGTGGTCTCCTTGTCCTTCCCCCTAAGACTTCTGGGAAGACTTCCTAAGTAAAGATAAGGTTGCAGGGAGGATGTGGTGCAACTTACATAAATTCAAGGTCATTGCTCATTCTGTGTGGCTATTTTCTGTTTTCTTTTCTCTGGCTCCTCAGAGGCCCCTAGTACACATACATCATGGAACAAGATGAAATGTATATGGGAATAAAGACTAATAGTCTATAGCACACTGGAGCAGATCCAATTTACAATTTGCTACATATTGTATGCCCGTATTGGGCTGAGGTGCTTCTCAGACCTGAGAGGGCTATGGGAACACGAAGAGATTCCCATAGAGTGGAAGCACTCAGTCATAATTCCCAGACACAGGAGGAAGGACAAGTTGGACTGCTCAGATTACAGGGGCATCAGTTTGTTGTGGCATAGCAGCAGGATCTTCTCCATTATCCTGCAAAGGATCAAGGGCAGAACAGAGGAAATCCAAGCAGAGGCCCAGTGAGAATTTCGAGCTAATAGGAGCACAATAGATCAGATCTTCACTTTGAGAGAACTGGCAGAAAAGTACAAAGAATCTAGAAATTATTTGTATGTCTGTTGCATCAACTTCAGGAAGACATTCAATAGCATCTGTAGGAAAGGACTTTGGGAAACAATGAGGTACCCGAGAAAATCATGATACTGGACAACACCTATAAAGATACTTTTGCATCAGTCAAAGTCTGTGGGGAACTAAGTGATCAGTTTAAGACAATCACAGGAGTGGTGCAGGGATGTGTCCTCTCACCACTACTCTTTAATATATTCCTGGAATTAATAATAGCAACAGCCCTGGGCAGACCGCGCTGGGTTGCCGCTGCCGCTGCCGCCATCGTGCCAGCCCCACGGGTCTTGGTGAGGTGGGTGACTCTCCAGGATGGGAGACAAGCCAATTTGGGAGCAGATTGGATCCAGCTTTATTCAGCATTACTACCAATTATTTGATAACGACAGAACCCAACTAGGCGCAATTTACATTGATGCATCATGCCTTACGTGGGAAGGACAGCAGTTCCAGGGGAAAGCTGCCATTGTGGAGTTGTCTAGACTTCCGTTCCAGAAAATCCAGCATAGTATCACGGCGCAGGACCATCAGCCTACACCAGATAGCTGTATCATCAGTATGGTTGTAGGCCAGCTCAAGGCCGATGAAGATCCCATCATGGGTTTCCACCAGATGTTTCTATTAAAGAACATCAATGACGCTTGGGTTTGCACCAATGACATGTTCAGGCTTGCCCTGCACAACTTCGGCTGACCTCCTGGCCAGACGCTCACGCTGTTTCCTCCTCCCTCCTCTTCCCAATACTATCTCACTCCTCCAGATGCTCCAAATATCATACACAAATGAGCAGGGTCGAGGTGGGAGTGGGTGCAGTGCGCTTCTTTTACCACGGTGTTGTGCATGATGTTTGGATGCTAGACTAGTTGCATCTGACAGGAGACGTTTGTGTTGTACCAGCGCATGCCTTGGAAAGACTTAAGTAATGCAAAAGATTGTCGGTTTTTGTTTTATTTCGTTTTTTAATCTACTGACAAGTTGCTCTAGTAACCCAAAGAAGTGAAGGAGAAAGCAGCTGCCTCACCACCCAGATATTGATTTGTTCAGATGTTTCAATGCCTCATGATACAATAAAACCACAAAAGTTTTCAAAAAAAAAATAGCAACAGCCCTGGAGCATGAGGAGATGGACGTGCAGATAGGTGGTGGCCCAAAACGCTGGATAGACAGACAGCATAAAGGAAGACTGTGGAACCTCAGGTATGACAGTAACACAAGCATCTAGGACTGCCCAAGATAGGAACAACTGGAGAACTGCTATAAATGGGCTGACAATGCATGCTTAAGCATAAATGATAAATGAATGACATATTGTACATAGAACTAGAAGAGAGGTATTCAAAAGGTTCAGCACAAAGAAAAGATGCACTCAAAAAGACAAAAAAGTTGCTATTATAGGGTGACTCCATTTAATTCTTTATTATGTATACATGAACATACCAGAGTCCCTTCCCCCCCAATAATCCCAGTGGCAGAACTCGTGACTCCTTTGGGAGCTTTGTCCAGCAAAGCCCCATAGACCACTAAACGGTACAAACTATTGCCATTGCTCTTGGGTAGCCTCCAGAACTTGATGGTAGGATGCTATTGCTGAAAATACCACTTGATTCATAGAATATGGCAAATTTAAGCTTGTATAGACCTGGAAACCTCATTTCTCTGGCTAAATTTCATAGTACTGGATGATGCTATTTAAGCTTCCAGAGGAGAAAAATGATTACATTAATACCCAGCTATTTGAACCCTGCAAGTTCCAATAATGACTGGATTGACAAGACATGTCTACTGGTGCAGTAGTGGGATGAACACCATGGAAATAACTAACCACTGATTGGTTTTAAATCCAGTTCCACAGGATGAAACCCATAATTGGCACCATCACTGGGCAAAGAACCTATGGCTAGACAGGTCATAGGCCCTAGAGGAAAACCTACTGCTATTATATTGTTAAATTGATATAGCACTAATGACTTATTGTTATACATCAATGCACCTCTCTGCCCTCATCTGAGAAGCCTCTACTTTGCAATAGACGGTGATTAACAAAGTAACAATGGTCAAGGTCTATAGAGAAGAATAGATCTCAGAATTCTCATCCCTAAAGAGAACATGTATGTGGTCTGGGCAGGAATGGCAGAGGAAGCTTCCTGCTTCCCAGAATACTCCCGTTCTCTTTGCTCCATCTCTACTTCCTGTCTGGTTTTCCCGCCTATACTTCCTGCCTGGCCAATCAGCATTTATTTAAAATATGATTGACAGAATACAGATAATTCTCCCACACTTTCCTGCAAAGCTCATTGTGAAATAGAATCTGGAAGGAATGTTAGAGAGAGAGAGTGTCAGTGAAAAATTACAAGGAAACATTATCTTCTGGATACAGTAGAATACCTGAGCATATGAACTCATAATGGTTGAAACAGCATGATGTACAAAACCCACACATGCCCTAGACAGATCAAATCCCAGCATGGAGAACAGGGTGGGGCATACAACCTCATTCCTAGCCATGGAACTATTAGTGATTGTTAGTGTTGGGAGAGTCAGTTTAAGAGTAAAGACCCTGGTGAGTCATCTATGTTGTAGTAAAAGACCACCATCTAAGGACATAAGGGCAGCACAAATTTGTTTTGAGGATTTTTTTTTTTAAAAAAAATAGGACACAAAGTTGGACGTCTATGCTTTAGAAAACATGTTTTTAAAAGGCACTTTTGTGGTTTGAATGAGAACTGTCTCTCCTAGGTTCCCATAGTCCATTTGGTCTCATTTGCTGGTACTGTTGGGAGGATTAGAAGGTTCAGTCTTGCTGCAGGAAGTACATCACTGAGAGTAGGTTTTAAGGTTAAAAAGCATCATCTATTTCCAGTATGCTCTCTCTGCTTCAAGCTCACAGTTCAAGGTGTGAGCTTCAAGGGGCATGGGGGATACATGTTCTTTTTAGGGCTGACCATTCTGAAGGCTCTTATTCTCTGTGACTGTGCCTATCATACCACAAGCACTACCTGAGGGCTGTGGTTCTTCATTGGAGCAAGAGTTTAAGTTCACCTCTCAGCATTCAACAACACAACACATTTCTCTATGTGCTGTATACACTCCCTGCAGAACAAATCGACTCTATAGTATTATATAAAACAAGTGTTTTTGACTTAGTATGAAAATTTATAATTAGAAATAAGCTACTACTTTGAGATTAAAAAAATACAATAATTGGGACTGAAGAGAAGTATTTGCTGCTCTTGCAGAGGACTTAGTTTCATTCCCAATACCTACATCATGTAGCTCATGACCTCCTGTAATTCCCACTCCAGATTCGACGTCCTCTTCTAGATTCTAAGGTATCTGCACCCACACGTGTACATATCCCCACACAGGAATGCACACACATGTATATGTAATTAGAATTTTAAGGTTTTTAAAAAATCGAAGATAAATTTAGTTTATAAAAACTAGAATGAAAAATTTTTCTTTTTCTTTCTTTACTTTTGGTGTTAAACATGGTGGGCAAGCACTTAACACTGGGCCACATCTCAAACTTTCGGTTGAATTCTTAGGATACCTCCTTATTTCTTACAAATTATATTCTTGATGTCCAATGTATTTCAAAATAATACTTCCTTAGTCTATAGCTATAAAGTTCCATAATTTTTCCAAATAGTTTTTCCCAAAATAAAGATTATACTCCAACAATGGCTACTCCATTAGAAATGTGAGCATTCTCCTACTCAGATATGACAGGAGCTTCTCGGAAGCTAAGAGTTTCTCTAATGAAATGATTCTACCTACTACACTTACTCACTGTTGAGCTAACGGACGACAGTCTCTTCCTTTATGACCATCTTTACTTAAAAAAATGTTCTCTTCTCTTAAAATGTCATTGTCTGAAATTATACTCTTGGATATATATGAAGCAATAGCAGTCCAACAAAACTGATAAAAAATACTTCACACTTACACAAGTTGTCTGTGAGCCAGCAAAAATTACTGGTTAACAAAGGCCTTCTCACTGCTAGGATTACAAGCACCACTGTGCCTGACTTTTACACAGGTACTGGGGACCCACATTCAGGTTATCTTAGCTGTGGTGGTTTGAATACTTAGTCCCCAGTTGGCTGAACTTTTTGGGAAGGTTTATGAAGTGTGAACTTGCTGGAGAGGTATGTGTGACTGGGAGGGGGGCTTTGAGGTTTCAAAAGACTCTTGTGATTCCCAGTTAGCTCTCTCTGACTTGTGGTTGTGGATTAAGATGTGAGCTATCATGGAGTCACACCTCTGATACTGCAAACCAAATTAAACTTTCTTTTATAAGTTGCCCTGGTCATGGTATGCTGTCACAGCAATAGAAAAGTAACCAGAACAGAACCAGAGAGTGGGCTATTGCTGTGACAGACCTGACCATGTGGTTTTCCTGAAGTAAGGTGGCAGAATTTGGGATTTTGAACTAGAAAGGCAGTTACACTCTGTAACCAGAACTTAATGGGCCATCATAGCAGGAAACTGGAAGACAGCAGTGCTGAGAGCTATGCAGACTGTGGAAACTAAAAAACTAAGCTCGAGAGGTTTCAGAGAGGAAGAATATTAGTAACTGGGCTAAAGATCTTTCTTGTGATATTTTGGCAAAGAATGTGGTTGGTTGCCTTCTGCCCTTCTACAATGGTTATGGCTACCACCTACACATCCATCATTAAGTACAATACCCCAATGTAAATGCAGGAGACTAGTTAATTTCTCATAGTATAGTGAAGACAAAAATAGAGTTTTTCAGAACAAATGTTTATTTAAAAATTAAAGGTAAACAAAACAATAAAGCATAGAGGAGTACATGGACAGAATATACTTTATTTTCATTTGGTCTGAAATCTTGAAAAAGTTATTCTAACTACTTACCTGAGGTAGATTTGGGTTGGCACTGCTTCAAGGGAACCTCCATCCATCCCAGAAGTTACCTTCTAGCTTTGGTTACAGGCTCCCAAGTGGTCCTCTCCAACCTCAGGTTACGCTACGTAATACCAACACCTTCTCACCATAGTTAACAAGCCTCAGGCCTGCTTTACATCCTCAAAGTTCTGTTTGAGGAATGGTCCACTGTTAGTTTATTTAGAGACTACAGACAATTTCCAGTGAGACAGGCTGAAGGAAGGGTAAGTCACCAACCTACTAATGTTTTAAGCTTTGTCTCTTTCTCCATGGTCTCTTTACTGATTAATAAGCAGTCACAATGACTAATTTATTTTTTACTGCCACTGTCATATATCCAATATTATTTTAAGTATCACAATTATCAAACTTTTGCTAGTAATAAGCATGATATTCCTCAAGAAAAAAAATACATATCTAGTGTGTGTTTATCACAATGGATAAATTTTCATAGTACTAAAGTTATTTGTAAAAACTACTAGAACATGTCTGATTAAAACTGACACAACCTGTTTCTTAAAAGGAAAAACACTGGAACCAGATTCTTTACTGAGTTAAATTCACTGGCCTTAAGATTATGATTATCAACAACTATCAGGTTAAGAGGTTACAGCCAGCCGAATGTAAGGTATTACCAGATCACTTGCATGAATTGAAACACTAATACCCCATGGAATACAAATTACAACAAAACTAGAGGACTATAATTAGCAAGAAAATAATACTCTACAGAGTCCCAAATACTACAGGAACTTGAAATAGTTGAATTAAAGGTCTTTTAAATAAAAAACAATGAGAAGTGAACATAAGATGCTTGGGTCATGAGCTATCCAAGGAATGATAAAGACAATCAACTACCCTACTGTACTGCAAACAAATGTTATCCTTAAACCTCAGGTGAATCTGCCAACCACTTTTCTAACATTTATAGTCCTGCATTTCAAGCCAAGAATATACCTTATATTGTGTTGACTGCAATCCTTTCCCTGGGATTAAACTGTATTTTTCTTTCCTTGACAGAACTGGAATAAATGAAAAAAATGTGTCATTATGAAGCTTAATTTGCTGCAAGCATCAGGATAATAGAATGAAGAAGAACATGAGCTTTGGAGTCAGGACCCTCGAAATCTGTGTCCAGTTCCTCTATTAA